CCCGCGAAAACAGAATTCAAATGTACATATATCTATATATTGATGATAGTAAATGATGACATTTGACACTAAATATGATTGTAGTGTATCGTTCTATTTATTATACTTTATTATCTTTTAAAGAAAATAAAGAAAGATTAAATAAATAAAAAAAGGTTTGAAATATAAGAAAAAGAAGAAGATGGTTTGATGACGATGATAGTGATGAAGATATGTTTACATTTCACTATCTTGTTATAAAATTACCTACAAGTTTCTCTTTTCCTTCAAAATGTACGCATATAAAAATAATATAAAATAGAATATAATCTATTTTAACACCATTCATTCTTTAAATTAACTTTTAAATCAGGATCCATGGTGGATAGATCAGATGAATCGGTATATACGTTTGTATGTATGCATGCATATAGGCTGATTTAAATAACAATAAGTAGTATATGTATGCACACAAAAAGGCGCATGCACATGATGTTTATTCTATCGAAAATGACGAAGAATATGTCAATTTTGACAGAATTAAATTCTTTATTTTAAAATCTATATATAAGAAGAAATTTTTGATTGACTCTTCATGTCACAATTTGATTTATTTTCGTTTTGTTTTGAAATGAATAACTGTGCCGTTTACAATTATTACTACTATTACTACTACGGGTAAGATTAATTAAAGTAGGGATAAGTATAAAGACAGGCAGTTGGTAATAGCATTGCTTTGATAAACTTTAAGCAATAATAAGATCAGTCAAAAGAAAGAGAGAGGGGGGAGGAGAAAGATAGAGATTTAAGAAGACGGAGACAGGGGGATGAAAAGAGTATTGCAAATGCTGCAATACCTTCAATAAGACGGTACCCTTTTTAAAAAAAAGACAGAGTTAGATAATGATGTAAATTCTAAAAAACAAACGTTCCAGTATTACTTAACTCGACATGTAATGCAATCAGTTTTGATGTAACTAACTAACTAACTAACTAACTAACTAACTAACTAACTAACCTTGAACTAACTAGCTAACCTTGAACTAACTAACTAACTAACTAACTAACTAACTAACCTTGAACTAACTAGCTAACCTTGAACTAACTAACTAACTAACTAACTAACTAACCTTGAACTAACTAACTAACCTTGAACTAACTAACTAACTAACCAACTAACTAACTAACTAACTAACCTTGAACTAACTAACTAACCTTGAACTAACTAACTAACCTTGAACTAACTAACTAACCTTGAACTAACTAACTAACTAACTAACCTTGAACTAACTAACTAACCTTGAACTAACTAACTAACCTTGAACTAACTAACTAACTAACTAACTAACTAACTAACTAACTAACTAACTAACTAACTAACTAACCTTGAACTAACTAACTAACCTTGAACTAACTAACTAACCTTGAACTAACTAACTAACTAACTAACTAACTAACTAACTAACTAACTAACTAACTAACTAACTAACTAACTAACTAACTAACTAACTAACTAACTAACTAACTAACTAACTAACTAACTAACTAACTAACTAACTAACTAACTAACTAACTAATTAACTAACTGCTATGAAAATACTGTAAAGCTGGCAGTTGGTTTTAAACCAGCGGCAACCAGGTAATGAAAACTCTTTTCTTCTTGATTTAATTTATAAATGTATAACAGTGTTGTAACTAACTAAAGTGAGCGTAGGACTCTCACTCAGCTGATTGACTGTTTCATGAATAAAGCTAAACTGGACTGATGTTAGTTAATTTATCAATCTCAATGGTTGGTAATCTGTGTAAGTGATCACCGTTCAAGGGAAAATACTTGAATAAGAATAATTAGATCAAACAAATGTTTTCAATAAATTCTTTTTCATGCCTTATTATTATAAATCCATTAATTTTATTTAATTGAATTTTAGATTTTCTCGTCGATTAACTGGACCGAAGTTATCGGTGTCAGATCGACATGTTGACTTCTTGTGCAGGTGCCTCGACGATCTCTTGGCATGTAATTATAAGTTAATTGGTGGATGGTGACTAGCAGTGGAATCCAGGATGCGCATTTCGTCCTATTTGGGACTCGTCAGCTCGTGGATGTAACTGTATTCCCCAGTGAGTGAGTGATGGTGTTCCCACCGACGCTCGAACCCAGTGCCCATAGTTTCAAACTCCAAAGTGTTGTCCACTAGACCACTTGGGCCACTAGAGCCACGTGATGTGCAATGGGTCATACTAATTATTTAATTGGTCTAGTGGATAACGCTTTGGCGTTTGAAACTATGGGCACTGGGTTCAAGCCTCGGTGGGAACATCATCACTCACTGGGGAATGTAGGTACATCCACTATCTGACGAATCCCAAATAGGACGAAATTCGCATCCTGGATTCCACTGCTAGTCACCATACACCAATTAAATTCCAATAATTTTAGCATAAAATAGCCAATAAAGACGAATTAGAATTATATCAGAAAGTGTATTGTGGAGTAACAGTTACTTGGTTCCGGTTATCATTTAAAATATGTATAGTCAATAAGAATATGAGATAAAATGTGATGAAATAATTCAATGATATATATGTATACATACTAAGAGAAGACTCGATGGAGCTCGTCTAGATAGATTAGTAGAAACACGGTAAATAAACGAGAACACCTGCTGTGATTTTACTAAATGTTCAGTGTCTACCAAGTAAGCTAAGACTATATCATTCACGCATTTGGTTTCCCCTTCACTCAACAGTACAGGTAAATTTCCACGTACGTGCATGGATAAAGCTCTCAGAGTACCACCTGTGTGACTAGCTCTATGACAGCAGTTAACTTTTGTAGATGCACACTGATGTAGCCGTTTTCGGTAATTTATCTTTGACTGGCTGTGTGAGTACTGGTTTAGCTGAGAAATTGAGTGCTAGTTCAACTGCATGGAATGTCATCTCAATTGATCTATTAAGCTGACATTTCAGAATTTCTACTGCAGTCTTCCATTTGTAAATTAACTTGAGATACAAGGGTATCTTATCTACGGTCTCCACAATTACCCTATCTCTAGGTGTTGACATGTACTTTTTAAAAAAACTGTTACTCATACAACTTCCCACAGAAGTGATATCAGAATACAGAATAACCATTATTCAGTAAATCTTTTAAGTATGAATTTTTTGTAATTTACATACAAAACCATAAGTTATTTAATTTATATATGCAGAATATTTGATAGACAGTAAGTCACTAACCAAAAATTATTATTTATTATTATTATTGTTTCCTTTAATTCCTAGAGGAACATAGGGCTTCAGCCGTGCGTCTCCATTGCGTTCGGTTCTCTGCTAGAGTTTTCACCTGGCTACAAGTCTGCCTAAATGCTTTCATCTCCTCTTCACATGACATCCTCCAAGTCACCCTTGCATTGACGACCGACTCGCCGCTTCCCTTTCGGGTTCCACTCGAGCAATGGCTTGTCTAGTGATGTCACTCACTTGATGGTTTCCTCAGAGTATGGCCAATTCACCTCCATTTCTTGCTGCTTATTTGTTTCACAATCGGTTCCTGCTGTGTTGGTTCGCTCATTGCCAGAGATCCCTGTTGCTGATCTTTTCTGGCCAGCCATCTGATCATGAGTGGTATTGAGCGAAGACAACTGTTAATGAAGGTCTGTAGTTTGTTTGAGATGCTCTTTATGACGCGCAGTGCAAGTCTCTGATCCGTATAGTAGTACTGACTTCACATTGGAGTTGAAAATCCGGATCTTATTTTTTATGCTGAATGTTGTTGACTTCCACACATACTTGAGAGTAGTGAAAGCTTGTCTTGCTTTTCCGATTCTTGCTTTGATACCCTCGTCAGTTCCGCCTGTAGTTGAAACGATGCTTCCCAGCTAGGTAGGTAGGCGAAGGAGGTAGTTTCTTTCAGGTTCCTTCCATTTAGGCTGATTGTTGTCAGTTGTTGTTGTTCTTGCCCAGGAATCTTCATCACCTCTGTTTTCTCTATGTTCACCTGAAGTCCTATCTTTGATGCTTCTTCTGCCTACTTGTTCCTTTTCACTTGCATATCTTCCAGTTTGTGGGAAATCAGACATATATCATCGGCGAAGTCCAGACCCTCCAAGTATTTGTGTGAGTCCATTTTATGTCTGTTTCCTCATTGCCCGCTGTTTGTCGCATTATCCAATCTACTGCAATCAGGAAGATCATTGGTGATAGTAGGCAGCCAGCTTGTCTTACTCCTGTCCTCACTTCGAAGGATTCTGTAAGTTTCCCGTTGTGGATTACTTGGCATACAGCATTGTCGTACAGCTGTACCAACCAAAAATATTTCTATAAAATTTATAGTTTGAATTAATTTGTGTACCATTTTTTTAAAATTTTCATATTGAAAACAGCAGAAATCCAGAAGGAGATCAACTTTTTTAGATTGATACGGGTTACACAGAGGTAATGATGACGTTTAAATACTTAGCTTACGTTTCTTCCATTGTGAAATATGTATATAAACTGTACCACTTGAAGATATCAAAATAATCAGACTTGCCCAACAAATTTACCGAAGAAGATGAAGATCAATTGGTCACACCTTGAGGAGACCGTTTTATTTTTATTCCTTCACGTTCCCGTTGGAACGCGGGGTTTCAAGCTGGAGGCTTGAAGTTTCGGCAGCAGTGGTGTTTACTTTCACGGGATGGGGTTGCTATTCTTGTGTCCAACCTTCCTTCTTTACCAGTCTTATTACCGGCTTAGTGAGGTTAAGGACTGCGTTGGTGGGTAAGGATCGAACCCCTAACCAAATGTGTGATTGGCGAGCGTTCTACCACTGTGCCACCGACCGTTGAGTGACATCATGAGCAAAATAGGCCCTCGAGTAAGAGCCAAATAGGAAACGACAAGTTGGGCTTGGATTCAAGGATGACACGGAGGAGATACTGAAAGAAAGAGATGTGAGTTTATGGGTTATCATGAATCCAGTTAAAGTTAAGACTGAAGAGGGGAGAATGAAATAACGATGTGCTACTGAAGCCCTACATTCCACCCAGAGTCTAAAGTAATAATTATGATGGGTTCTATGGGGATATGAATTAGTTTCGATACAGACTTCTTCACTCACCAAAAACCATTTAGACAATCATTGAACACCGCAAAGCACTAGACATCTATTTTGTCCTAGCAAGTGAATCTTCAGAGGTGTGCAGTGATGGCGATACCAGGGATGAAACGTGGAGACGTATAACCCTGGAGACAACTGATCACAGTCAAGGTTATCAAAAAGGAAGGCTATTTCATTCATGAAAAACTCGAAAAACAGTATTATCTTACATTACCCACCGAGGATATTGTCCAGGAAGA